TTTCAGTTTTACCCTGTTTTTTTTTTAAACATTTATATCACAGAGAATGTTTTCATTAAGCCTCATGCACCCCAGTGGCACAGCGGTATGTCTGCGGACTTACAACACTAGAAACCGGGTTTCGATACCCGTGGTGGGCAGAGCACAGATAGCTTTTTGTGTAGCTTTGTGCTTAACTTTGAAACAAAGAAACAAATTAAGCCTTATTCATCTAACCTAAACAGATAGTTTCAACTTTAGCATGTACAATGTTTTGTTTGTTTGTTTTTGAATTTCGCGCAAAGCTACACGAGGGCTACCTGCGCTAGCCGTCCTAATTTAGCAGTGTAAGACCAGAGGGAAGGAAGCTAGTCATCACCACCCACCGCCAACTCTTGGGCTACTCTTTTAACAAAGAATAGTGGGATTGACCGTCACATTATAACGACCCCACGGCTGAAAGGGCGAGCATGTTTGGTGGGACGGGGATTCGAACCCGCGACCCATGTACAGTGTAATATTCAGAGACTGTAAAATAAGTGAAATAAGTCATTTTATAAATAAGATACACAGAAAACTCCAACAGGGGGAGGTTGGTTTTCTGTGACTCATATGTTGTTACGGGTCCTGTGACCAATAAATTCACGGACCCACAAGTAATTTAAACAACAAAAACAAAAAGTTTGTAGGATCCGTATGGACTTATTGGTAATTTTTAAGGTCACAAAATGTCGTTTAAAAGTTCACTACACTCACCTCTTCAGGGTAGTTTTCAGGATAGCTTTGTCGTATTGAAGCTACTGAAAGGATAATAGACACTAATATGAATATTCAATTTGTTTATGATATTTAAAAACTAAAAGATTGAATATGGTCCAAAATAACATGTAACGACAGAAAATATACATTCTATTTACTTGACAGTGGTCAACCCAATAATTTGATTAATTAATTTTAAAGAATGATAAGTTAACCATGATAAAAATTATATACGTATAGAAAATTAATACTTAAACAGTCACGCAAAATAAAATCAAAAGGAAGGACTGGGTTAAACATCAGCAAATCCAAACCTGTGATAAATGACATTTTAATTAATAAAACAAACCCAAGCAAAAAACAAAATTAAATTAAAAACACTGCATAAATTAAAAGGATCCCCTGGGTACAGGCTATAATGTGGGATATAAAATGTGCCTTGGGTTTTGGAGGTGACTGTGGAAGTAGGACCCACGTTACAATGGGGATACACTGTCTATCAGTCTTAACCTCCGTTCACCAGTCTAACATGAAGAAATTCATAAAAAAAAGTTAAATAAAATCACCAAATGCAACACAAGTTATGAGAGTGAGATGTGGATGTTAAAACCCATAACGTCCCACATCTATATCACCCTTCACTGCCTACAGACAATTGTGGGAAAGTAACTGCTCTCCAAAGTAAAAAAGAAAAGAAAAACGAAATAAGGTACTACAATTAATGATAAAAAAATAAATTACTATCCCAGCTTTATCACGGCTATAAAAAGAATTTAAATTAATTATGACACAAAAAAATAATTGAAATTCATAATATTTGGTATTTCAGTTTACAATAAACAAATATATTAAGTTTTGAAATTAAATCTCTTGGGGGGTTTCTTCCTTATCTTTTATATGAAAAACAAGGCCACACTTTCAATAATTTGTTGATGTTACACTTTATTTTCAGTGTGCTACTAAATAAAAAAAACTGTTCTTAAATAGTCTTTAAAGTTTATTATCAAGATTTCACAAATGTAACAAATGAATAAATGCAAAAACCACAACAATGTAGGACAAATTTTATGTTAATTTCATTAAAATGAAAAACTTTTTAAGAGTTTTAAAACTCAAAATTATACAACACATGAACTGAATAATATAAGAAATTAAGTATATTTTCTAGTAAACATTGAAACTAATAGCGACTGCAATGCTCATAAAATACATGAATATATTAATTCACAAACTCGTATTCATTGTTAATATAACAATTTATAATGTTATTGCTGTTTTACTGAACGAGTCTGATGATTTTTTTTTCCATCATTTGTTACGCTACAACAGACAATTTTACCTTCAGAAGAACTTGTTGGTACAGATATTTCACAAAAACACTCAAAAACATGGGGTGGATCTTCTCTGAAAGAACAAAATAAAGTTTCAATTTAAAAACTGCTGTGAAAGATATAAACCACTTTCAAATGTTCTAAAATGTCTTTTTAATATTTCAAGAGAAAAAATACAACGATCTGATATTTACAGAAAGTTAGGGCTCAGAAAAACAATGACTGAAGTCCACCAATTCTTACAGGTCTAATAATTTTTCATGTTTTCCAATTCAGTAAATCAAAACTTTATTGAACTTAGATCTGTTACTATTTACATATTATAATTGACAAGTAATATCTTTTTTATAGATTTTTTTACAAAAAAATCTTAAAATACGTTCACAAAATTTGCTACTTTTTTTTTATAATAATGTCAAGTAGGAGTAGGTGGTATTAAAATCTGAATTAACACCTCACGAAGAAAAACATTAGAAAGTTACGTTGTTTACACGAATAATACATTCCTTCAGTTTTTCTCAATGCTAGCATTCTTTAAAAAGTACAAATATAACAAAAGCACGAAGTGAGCACTGTCTGAATAAAATAATTATTTTATTTACCATTTTGCATAGTGCTTAATTGAGTTCAGAATTGAGTCATAGTCCTACTATTCTCATCATTAAATTTGATAAAAAAGATGATGCATCAACACTATCAATTCCCTTTACAATCTTCAACACCTCAATCACATCCCTTCTAACTCTTATTGTTTTTCAAAAGAAAACAATTTCAAATATCTTAATCTCTCCTCATATGACAAACCCTTCATCCCAGGCACCATTCTAATAGCCCTCCTCTGAACCCTTTCCAACAATTCAACCTTCTTAATATCATTAGCAAATTTAAGTAATTTATTGACCACTCCTTCATCCATGTCAGGTATTCATATAAATATTTCCGAAAGAACAAGAAAAATTTGCCTACTGTTCTACTGACTAACAAATGTCAAATTTATCTTACAGAATAGATATAAAAACATATTGTGATTCTCAAAGTTCCAAGTTATCTTTCCTCAGCAGTTGTCCATGTTGTTAGTGGCACAATAAGTGTCATCAAATTCAGAAAGCTTATAAAAATAAACAATTATTTTAAATTGTAAAATTGGTGAGTACTAATGCAAACTGTGAATGTACATGGGAACAATTTCCAGCAAAATTCTATCTCATGTAAAGTTTGAAGAACTTGGAGTGTGGATGCGGGAACTAAATGGCCATTTTCCAGTAACAAAAATTAAAATGGATTATTAAAACCTGGAACTGTTGAAATTTTTTTTAAATACATAAAAACATTGTAATTGTTACAACTGTCATATAAATGATTTTAAAATTATTACGAGACAATTTTTTAATGTTTCTCATTAAAAGATAAAATTTACATTAGAGGATAGTAAAATACAGAGATATAAAAAAACATTCTGGCCTGATTTTTTATAAAGTAGTTATATCATGGTAATAAATCTGATGAAAATTGGATTTTTTTAACATCAGTTGTCAAATACCATTGCATACAGTCAACAATGGATCATTTGGTCCTTCAAGACTGTTCTTCTATATCCACTCTTAAGAAAAAGTACAAATTTAAACCCACCCTTTTTTTCTCAAGAAATCACTAACACCTTTCTTAACTCCTGCAAAGCACTGTTTTCTACTACTACTGATGATGGATCATTCCATAAGCTAATCACCTGTTAGGAGAATAAAACTGAATTTTCCAAACCTTAAACTCATGCTCTCTCATCTTATTATCACCAGGATAAAGCACAATGAGATCAGAAACATTTATCCTATTGATTCCCCAAATAATCTGGTAAGCTTCAATAAGATCACTTCTCACCTCTTTCCTCAAGAGAAAAGAATGAAGCAATCTCAATTAGACAATCTTTTCATCCTCAGAATCATCTTTATAGCCCTTCTCTGAACTCTTTCCAATAAGCCAATACCATTTGTTTTATAAGGAGACCAAAACTGTACAAAATATTAGTAATAAAGATCCAATCTAACTGGGCTTCATTAATATTAAATAATAACAACGTTTATATTTCTCTCCCTCCCCCCTACTAATAGTATTACTATCCAAACTAGCTTTTCCCAAGTTACCCCACTTTTCTTTCTACGCTAATCTTCTGTGTCACACCTTATCAAGAGCTTATTGAAAATCCACTCCCCTTTTCACCATCCTGATAATTCTCAAATAAATAAAATTATAGTAATAATCAGCAGATCAGTAACTAAGAGTAAGACGCACACACCAACACGGCAACAGTTATTGAGTTTACTGTTATTGTTAAAACAGGCCTAGACTAAAGTTTAAAGTAAGTAGGACGAGTTTGGGTAAGACTAAGAACTACATCAGTTAACTAAGCTAAGCAACTAATCTATATTATTACTATATGGCCTAATTTTAATTTAATAGGCCATAGTATTAGCAATAATGGCAATATCATAAAATTTTTAGTTTTACAAACACTACGTACTTACCTTATCCTAGAGCCCATTTCCAAAGTTTAAATTGTACGATCATGTTGAAATAATAAAAAAATAAACGCTAACCTTACGTCTAGCATAAGCCGATACAACTAAAAAATAATTATGTAAAACACTTCAATTTGTAAATTTATAATACTTATTGCATTTTATTCCTGTTTTGTCTTCCTCATTACTGTAGAGAGTATCCTGTGTGTAGACAGACAAAATCTCGTTCCCAGACTTTCATATGAATATTTCCAAAATAAAAATAAAGTAATTTTGATAGTTTTAAACATATCCAATTTCAATGTATTTATTAATGCAATACCAATATACAATGTTATATTACCTTTTTAAAAAGTAATTCTAAGTTTATTCACAAAATCCTACAGTTTCAAACTTATGTGAACAGGTTTTAAGCTTTCAAATTATTTAAACTACAGAACAGATGCCGCAATTGGTCAGCTATAGGCTTGATGGCTTATAAAGCTTACAATCGGAGGTTGATACCTGCTGTTGAAACAGTGCAGAAAGCTCATTATGTAGCTTTGCACTTAAACACAAAAACGAACAAATAAAAGAAACAAATACTGTATATCAGTAAGGAAAAAACAACGCAGGTTGACATTTTATTTGTAATCAAATGAACAAAAGTTTTGACATAGCTGTTGCTTTTGGAAACTTGTTTTTAATAATATAATTAAAGAAGAAACTAATAAACAGAAAATGAAAATATTGCCCAAAGTGAATGGTTACACATGTATGTTGTTTTAAAATTATGGATACTATAATTATTTGTATATAAGTGTGGGCAATAAATGAAACCCTCAATGTGTTAGCGGTAAGTTTATGGACTTACAATGTGATTTTAAAACTTTCTACTGTCAGTTTCGGTTCATGTTTTAGTGAACGCTCCTAAAGAAGCTCTAAAGCGAAACAATAAGTGTCTAATTAAATAAAAAACTTCATTTTGGTGTTATAAGGTCGTTTATTTCTAGTATTAATATGTCCTCAATATACCAATATACACTACAGAAATTAAATAATGTGTAATCTGTACTGTTAGATTATTTTTGATCAAAAGTTCTTAATAATAACCTTATGATTAAAAGAACCATGATCACTAGGTCGGAGTGGTATTCAAATCCAAAGCCTTTAAAAGTCAACAGGTGCTCAAGTCTAGCCTGAACTAGTACCGATGAAGTCAAATCCTTAGTTTATTTCTTTTTATCTTTTTGTTGTTGTTGTTGTCGGAGATACGTAGCGGAAAGCTTTGGATTCAAGGTATTAGAATTAATTATCATTGGCCCTAAAACTTTTCTTCTATATTTGATAAAGAATATTCCACAATCATAATAATAATATTTTCACGTTTTCACAAGATTTTTATCTTCGCATGCAAGCGCAAAATGTAAAAAAACAAAACAATAAAATATAATAAAATTTTGTAGTTGCAAATAAGTACAATACCATTAATTTTATTCCGTCCAAAGGTAACTCATGTCCTTGAAAACTTTATATAACTTAGAATATATCTTATAATATTTTGATTAAGTTACAAGATAGAATAAGACAGAGAGAGAGAAAAAAAAAATTCCAACTCTGGTATTTGAAAAAACAACAACATTTCCAAATTTTTTGAAATAAGAAGAAGAAAAAAAGAAAAAGACAAATTTCAAAAAATATCATAGTGCCCGATAGATGGCACACCTTGTAAAGGCTTTAGAAGCTTAAGCCATGGACCAAACTTTTAAGTAGCGACCACTGGTTGTCCGCAAGAAGTATTGATGATTGGACGGATCGCAGAACAAATAATAAATATACTTTTATTTTAAAGTATGCATACAATAACGACCCTAAAATGTTTTTTTTTAACAAACCAAACAAAATATAAGAGTAACTAGTAACTCTAGCTTAAGCAAATATCTTATATTTTGAGCTCCTTCAACTTTATCGAGTTGGCTAAAGACTTTGGACGAGAAATATACTTTACAAGCCTTGACTGGACATAAACAGAAATACTCGAAGTAAGTTAAAACAAAATAATGAGAGAAAAGGAAACTAATTAACGTGGATAAGCGATTCAAAATATGAACTAATAATATGGTAACTCACTTATATATACATATAAGGCTGTACTTTATCCATTATAACAAACTGTCATCGAATGTGAATGGTTTTGGATTCAACACACCCACAATAGGAGATTTTTTTGATAAAACGAGTCATCAGCCAACTTTTGGGCTACTTTTACGTGATTGTTCGTCACATTATAACGTCGCCGCAGCTGAAAGGGGCGAGCGTGTTTGGTGAAACGGGGGATTCGAACCCGCGACCTCAGATTGAGCGCCCTAACCACCTAGGCCATGCCGGGTCCCAAGTTGTTAGAGGAAATATAGAGATATATTTAATAAAATGACACGTTCTTGCAACTCGTCTATAAATAAACAATACTAAATAATGTGGTAGCATGTTAACATGCAGTTTTAATCGATTATATTCGTCATAGGTGGGGTGAAATTCTCAAAAGAAGTAGAGGTACTCAGCTGGGTGAATTGGACCTGTTTTTTGAAAAAACAAATCTACATGTAAACATAAAAAAAAACGACTATTTGAGTGTCAATGAATAAATGCTTTCTGACGGAACAATGGAACGTATGCGCATCCAAAAAAGCAGCTCAAATAAGTCCCGGTACTAATACCGCCTCATAAAATAAATCCTGGTACTTGTACCGCCTTAAAAAAAATAAGCTCCGGTGCTCAGTACCGGTGAGTATCAGTAAAGTTTCACTCCTGGTCATAGAACAATAGTATTAGGCTTTTTTAAAACACTACATTCTTTGAAGGGGGCTGAATAAAGAATGTAATGTTTTAAAATACAGTAAGTCTAATAACATTGTCTTATGACAAGCCCCCCCCTCCCCCAGTGACACAGCGGTATGTCTGCGGACTTACAACGCTAGAATCCGGGTTTCGATACCCGTGGTGGGCAGAGCACAGATAGCCCGTTGTGTAGCTTTGTGCTTAATTACAAACAAACAAACTTATGACAAATATAATTTATTATAATCAGGCTTAGTCAGCAATTTTCTTTTTTTTAACACTCTGCGTGTAAGATGAATTATAACTTAAAATTGATGTTTCCATTTTTTTTTCTTACTGTTACATACTCTCGTTCAAGATCGCACTTCTTAATTGAAACATTACGTAGCAACGTCACAATATGAACAAGAATTAACTCCACGCGTTTAACTATTTCATCCATTTTTGAAGTGAAAAACAAACAACAGTCTAAACTGTTTCCATCTGTGGTTGATGTAGTACTGGGTTGGAGGTTAACTAGCATGGACCGACAATTTATTTCACGTAGCTGAGGAGGATGTAGCGCCCACCAACGACGGATAATTTTTATGTCTGTTTACTTAAGTGATACTCTTTTAAATTTACATCCATATGTTTTTGTTTTCTCTCCAAGAAGGTACATAAAATGTGTTAAACTACGACAGTTATTACAAAACGTCGAACTTGCCTTGTGCAAATTAAGATAAACTTGTTTAAATTCATTGTAGACTAGTACACGAAAAACCACGTTTAATCGCGTATTCGGAAAGTTTTGTTAAAGCATTTTAAATACGTGTGATGTACAACGTCAAGGAAGGCGAAACATGTCCCCGTCAGGCCATTAAAAAACAACAACAAGGGTATTGAATTGTTATTAAGCACAAAGCTACACAAAGGGCTATCTGTGCCCTGCCCGCCACAAGTATCGAAACCCGATTTTTAGCAGTATAAGTCTGCAGACATACCGCTGTGCCACTGGGGAGCACAAGGGTATTGAAGCACCTCCACCACCACCACACATACACACAACAAAAGCGTTTGTAAACACGATTAATTTTTTCTTGATCCAATGAACCTGATTTCCTAGGTACCAGAGCTTTCAGTAACAATGAATAAATCTATCATTTGTCATAGACATCCTAATTTATAAACCAAAATTCCCTCATGAGAAATTGATGGTTTTCTTTGGTTATATTAAAAGCTGACCCATCTATATCCTATCCCCCCTTATGATGTACAATGAAACCTTGTTAATCCGAATGCTTTTGTAATGAATTATTTTACCACGCCGTCAGGACATCTGGATGGTCAAAACAGTCATTTTGAATATAATGGACACTATTAATAGCATGCATTATGGATTGATAAATGCTACGATGGGCATGTGATTGGGAAATAGAAAGCAACTTTGTCCTCGATAAACTTAGCAGTTTGTTGTTGTATATGTCATCAATAATTATATAAATTGGGTAATCGGAGTGGCATGTCATTACCTCCACATAAATCATCATTCTGTTCAAATCAATGTAAAGTACAAAGTACGTGAATTGATTTCTTGTATAAACTTCACGTTTTAATGATTCTGACATTTCTACACATCTGTCTTGGAACATTGTGACTTCACACGACTGTGGCATAAATCAATTTGATAACCTCTTGACAATTAATACAGACTTCTCTATAGTAAAGATCGTTTTCAAAAAAATAGTCGTAAACTGGTACCCACTGCATATGTTTATGTTTGTGGTTGGTAATTATCTCACTAGTCAATCAGACAAGAGTAGCCAAAAAGCTGGAGGTGAGTGCTGTTGACTAATTTATAATAGAATCACTCCTCAGTTACGTTTGCACACCTTACACTATTCTTCACAAGTTGAATTTTAATTCTTCAAGATAATTTTTCTGTATGAAAACATTAGAATAACTGTGTTTAACAAGTATTGTATATATCGTTATGTACAGCAAACATATATATATATATATATATATATACTGGTAATGATAACATCATTTTTGAACCGTTGATTTCACGAAGAATCATTACCAGATGCTGTAGAGGACTTAAAAATTTGATATTTAATTTGTAGAAACAATGATATATCAACATAGCTTTCGGTTCCTCAGCATTAGGACAAGGCTATGGTTGTTTGTCTTGTTTCTGCATTTCATGCAAAGCTACACGAGGGCTATCTCCACTAGTTGTCCCTAATTTAGCAGTGAAAGACCAGAGAGAAGGCAACTAGTCATCACCACCCACCGCCAACTCTCGGGCTACTCTTTTACCAATGAATAGTGGGATTGATTGGCATATAATAACACCCCCGTGGCTGAAAGGGAGAGCATGCTTGGTGGA